CAAAAGTTTGTGGAATAAAAGCAGAAAAAGAAATCCGAGCGAAACTGCTTTCTTTAACATTTTTAACGGATCTGAACAAAGTGTGCGAATGAGGCATTGAGAACTATGTGAATGTGTGAAAGAGTTTTGCAGTCTCAGAGGGGAACAGTGGAGCTCTCATTCCAAAGGAAGAATAAATTTTGTCCTTTGAAACTTCAAAGTTTAAGCTTTCGGGCCGCGCTGCTTGTTCATTAACATTATGTTGAAGAACGCTGCAGGGTCTCATACCAGGGCCTTAATATTTTCAGAACAAGGGGTTTTAAACTATGGTTAGCATACCCCATTTAAAACGCTAAGACATATGAAAATTCCTTTTCAGCGCAGGTTTTACGTTTCCAAGAGTAGGAAAGTTGCTGTTGGCTTTGCGGGGAATAGCTAATCAGCAGAACAAGGTTCAACACTTCACTAGACAACCATTTTTCATGATAGATATACCACGTCATCACACATTTAGTGACGTGCATTTGAGTGGACACGATAATGCAAGTAAAAGAGGGGCAGAGGAGGTCTCGTGAAGTGTAAACTGTTGTAACTGATGGATGAAGGGACGGAGAAAGGAGTTACTGAAGTCGATATTTTAAATGCAAGCAGAGCCAGGTGTCACTGTAAGATTGGCTGCTGACAGCATGGAGGCGTGCGGTCTCGAGAAACATGTTAATAACAGAGTTAAAAGGATCTAAACATTTTATCTTCATGAATTTAATTTTGTTTAGTACAGACACATCTTAGCTCATTTACTGTTCATTATCTTGCAATAAATTAATGAATTGATTTATTATCATTATTATATTGTACACTTATATATTTAGTTCATTATTTGTTAGGTATTGCTATGTTTACTTTTATTATTTTTTTGTATTGTTAGTGCTCGGCTGTTATTGGCCTTTTCGGCTGTTGCCAAGCACTCAAATACATGAATTGAATTGAATTGAATTGAATTGAATTTGGGATGCAGGTCTTAAGTCATGGTACGCTCACTATACTGTTGTAGGTCAATTTTATTCCTTATTTCTCCATTAATCCATTGAAATATTCGCCTCATGTTTTTTTGATTGTGGCGGTTTAATTACTATTTTTGTTGTTAATAGCATGTAATTTACACTACTAATTTACATTACTAGACACAGATTAGAAAAGCTACAATTCTGATATAAATAAACCCATGGAGCAGAGTGTTCTGCTTGAAAATCTGATTGTGCGATCAGTTAGTCAAGAAATTCCTGCTCTTTAATGGAACCTAAGGGTATCACAACTGAGCGAAAAATCGACTCCTTTAAACTCAGCTTTTTAACACAATTATAATGTTCCGCGCAAATTACGACTGTTTAACTTATTTATAAAATCAAACAATTAACTCTGAGAAAGAAATTATTTTCCCGGCGGTGTCCGAATTTATAACTTGTGTTTGGCAAGGCCGTGGTCTAGGCAACACGGGGTTTTCCTCCGTGGCGTCCCAACAATTACTCCATTCACACACAGAAGAAGGCAATGGCAAACCCCTTCTGGATCATCTGCCAAGAACGTATATGAACAGGTCCCAGTCCGAGAAAAGGATGAAAGGATCCTGTTCATATGGACCTGTCGTCAGACAGAACACTAAATAAATAAAATAAGGGTTCGTTATCGTATTTACCAAAACCAGGCACCGGTAAAAGTTATGTGCCAGATGAATCCAGTCGACAACCTTTAACATATTCCTCTAAATTCAATTTTAATATTATTGTCCCATCTACGGATGCATTTTCTCAGTGGTTTGTTCACTACAGGCTTTTTAAAAAAAAGTTCTGTACGCATTGCACATCGCCTCCATGCGCACTGCATGTTTCGCCCGTACCAGCCTTCCTGATCTGATCATAATAGCTGGTCAACTAAAACATTTGTCGAGCTTCTAATTATGCAGTTTTAGCTAAACTAATGCCACTTTACCCCTCTTACTTTCATGTATTCTCCGCATAAAGTAGTGTCAACTCAGAGTTGCTAAAATGCTGTTCTCTGTTGCATAAATTGCCTTATTGATAAATAGTATTTATAAACCAACTTATTTAAGAAACTCAGGAGAATTATACAGATCACAGTGTTCAAACCCGGTCGATAATTAATCGAAATGGGCATCGTTTTTATATCCTCCTTCCAGAAAATTTCTGGCAGAACTGTCACTTTATTTTTTTTATTTGTAGTGTTCTGTCTGACGACAGGTCCATATGAACAGGATCCTTCCATCCTTTTCTCGGACTGGGACCTGTTCATATACGTTCTTGGCAGATGATCCAGAAGTGGTTTGCCATTGCCTTCTTCTGTGTGTGAATGGAGTAATTGTTGGGATGCCACGGAGGAAAACTCCGTTTTGCCTAGACCACGGCCTTGCCCAACACAAGTTATAAATTCGGGCACAGCCGGGAATCGAACCCGAGACCCCAGGATTACAAGGCCAGCGGTCTAACCGCTAGACCACCGTGGCAACTTGAACTGTCACTACAGCAACATTAATAATTTGTGATTTTAAAGTCGTTATTAAAAGTAATGGAGGAAACAAATTTGCGGGTTTACACCACCGAAACATTTTTATTCGTTTGCTTGTCTATCGCATATGTGGAATCTAAACGTGGCATAACGAGGAAATTATGTCGAACCACTGTAAAAAAAAAATGGCAGAGCTACAAGTTGTCCAACACAGCTTACACGATGCTACGTTTAGGTACATTGAGACGTTTTAACTGCAGAAACAGGGACATGTATTTTAGTGCACATAACAAACAAACACAATATCACACACACCAAATGTTGTCTGCCAAAGATTAGTGTGAACTCACAATACCAGTTAAATATAGACGTGTACTGATATAAACTTCCTGTTATGCGTCCATTTTCTTTGCTTTTGCCAAAGGCTTCATAAATTCGTTGTTTCACATTACCATGGAAATTGGATCTATTTCATCCAGATGAATGCTGTAATAAATAATGACGTGGAAAACTAATCGTGAAATGAATTAATTGCTGTAATACAAATGAAAGCGTTGTAAAGTTGAATCGAGTTTGCCAATAATCAGTTACAGAAGCATTGTGACTTTTCAGCATCAAAAGTACACACGATTTCACCTATCCCCTCTGAATCCCTCACAGAATTTTTGTCACATCACATCTGTTGTAGTTCAAAACCTGGTTATAATCACATGAAATTAAATCCTGATCCGACTATAAACGAAATCAGTGATTGAACTCTGTTCAGTGTTTTGACAGTGACCACCATTGTTAAACATCTGTCCTCATTGCGTACTTCATATGTCCAGATATTTTGTATGATGATCCGGTTATGAGAAAACAGATAAAATTTTATTTAATTTTTTGTGAAGTGGTGGTTGTGTTTGACAAGTACGCACTAAAATTAAATCTGCCCAGGAAGTTTTAATGTAGACACCAGTACAAAATTTAATCAAAGTCCGTGTAATAGTTTTGGGATTTGTAATATGCGGGCAGACAGAGTGATGGGGAGACCGACAGATGGACATGACGTCATCTGTATCCGTTAATTTCCATCTACGAAGAACACAATGGCTTGAACTGCATGCAGCGCCATTGAGAAAGGAAACGCGAGGAAATAAGAGTTTCTGCAAATCATGCCATCATGCAAATTAAGATGTCCTACTTTTCTGTACTTGTAGATATTGCCACCACCGTAGTCATGAACCATAATTAGAAGCGCGTATAGACATAGCTATAGCCACGGTTAGAACGCTGGCCTTGTAATCCTGGAGTCTCGGGTTCGATTCCCGGCGGTGCCCGAATTTATAACTTGTGTTGGGCAAGGCCGTGGTCTAGGCAACACGGAGTTTTCCTCCGGGGGCTTCCCCGGTTTCTCCGTGGCATCCCAACAATTACTCCATTCACACACAGAAGAAGGCAATGGCAAACCACTTCTGGATCATCTGCCAAGAACGTATATGAACAGGTCCCAGTCCGAGAAAAGGATGGAAGGATCCTGTTCATGTGGACCTGTCGTCAGCCAGAACACTAAATAAAATAATAATAGACATAGAATAGACGCGACTATAATGTCAATGACGAGAGGTGGAAATCTTCTTTATGCTTACAATTTTAATATGACAAGAAGCCGTTATAAGGCTCAATAAAAATGCGTGGTCAGCGAGTAGTGAGTTGGAAATGCTTTTCATTGTTATCTGATGGATGCGGGCAGTTATTATCAGAGTCTCAGAACAGTTCGATCATTGTTGTTGACAGGAAGGGAACGAATGGGAATGGCCTAAATGAGAAAGAGGGACGAGGGAAGTGCAAATAATGGAAGGTGACAGCATAGGAAATGACGAATTAGTGGCAAGATGAATGTAAGTACGTCATGACACAATTTTTATGAGTCGATTCTAGAGTTGCTTGCGCTCCGATACGTTTTAATTCGGAGACATCTCGATAAGAACTAGTTTTTAAAAATGCTTTTCAGTGAAGTGTTTGAAGTGAGGAGGCATTGTTCACCTTTCGCCTATTCTTTAGCACGTTAACATATCTGTCTTCTCATAGGATACAATTTGGTGCTGATGAGCTACTCCAAATCTGCTGGGTGAATTTTACTTCAGTCCTTAGCAGTGTGATATAACCAGTACTTTACATTACTATCAAATTAAATATAAATTATTTTAGTAAGTTAGGAAATGCATAAATAGTATACAAAATTGTATACATTCGCAAATATTTGACATCTGACCTTCGTGACCCGATCTCTTCGATTAAGTTCAGTTTTAGGTATATATTCTGATCTTCAGGAACGTGGTATAAGAAATCCGTTGGTTTATTTACTTCAACATAGAAACAAATATTTCGGAAGGATTTGTTAAACATTTATTACAACGTAAACAGTGTTAAAGTAAGCTACATGCCAGTTTTTTTATATAAGGAAGGATTATGAAACAGTAAGGAGACGTGTCAGATTTAGGATAATTAACTTTCAAAACTTTTGCCACAGTAATTAACATTTTTATTGATGCATCTTCCAAGAACAATAAGTTGTGTTTTATATAGAATGGACACCATTACAGATCTTCGGGTGAAAGTAACATTTACAAATAAAATAACAATTATTACAACGTTGAATATTGAAGCAGGAATATAACACTTAGAAATATTAATTCTTTCGCGTACATGTACGTACTTGAAAATCTGGAATATTTACGTATCCCATTTTTGTATAAGATTTTATAATTAGAAAATGTTTTGCTTTTCCCCTTACGTTTACTCATATGAAACTTCAGATCAGATCTAAAATATCAAATAACCACTGTCGTTTTAATAATACATTTATATATTGTGACATCAAAGATTTTTAGTTCATGCTGTACTAAAGAAGCGGTTTTCATTATCTTTGGTTGCGTGTTTTTGAAGAAATTTCACGCTTGAGATATGACGTCTGCTTATACTATTGCAGTAGCAATTTTAGCCCTCTGACAAGTAGATATGTTCTTTGAGACAATCACATAGAATGCACACACTCTTTTTACTCGGACAAAGAGTTATAAACCATACACATGAGAAACTTTTATACACTCTTTTATACAGCTTATCCAGATGAATTCACTCTTTCATCCGTTATGTCTCTCTTTCATACATTCATTCCCTCTCGCTGTAGAATAAGAGATATTTATATACACTCTTTTTACATTTTTCTACATGTTTGCCGGATCAAAAACACTTACTTACAAAAAGCGTGGACAGCAAATATTAAGCAATCTTTAGCGCTCACAAAGAAGAAATTGACTAGAAACTTTAAATATGTGACTGTTGAACCCACTTCACTCGTAAAGTTATTTCTAGATGTTGAAGTGAATTACTATTGAAGTTTCATGAGGTCTTTCTAGATTATTACAGTTACTGAATAGATTCATACATTTCATTCCACACCCTCACTAAAAAAAAACACACACACACACATTTTATCTTGGATTTGGCGAGTGTCATTGTAGTAAATGTAAACTACAATCTTTGTATTTACTTGAAGATTTTTTACTAGTATCTCTGGACTGTGACTGGTTCAGAGCAAACACTAAGGTATCATCGCCGGATGTTAAATGTCTTCTTTCCTTAGTAGCTTCATCTCTTCATCTTATGTTCTGATCCGCCAGAACACGCTTTTATCTATTAGAACCACTCACTTACAGACAAAAATCTTTGTTTTTTGCAAGAAATATTATGCGTATAAAGTACGGGTTTATGATACAAGAGAGGGATTGATTTTTTGAACTAGACGTATAATTGCACCAGTGGGGAAGTGATACATTATCAGAGCAACAGCCGATTTTATTTTGAACTAAGTTTCACACGATTTGTACCGCTGATTAAGATATTGTTCGGTACAACCAGGGTATTTTGTCCAGTGACAGACCCTGTAGTTTTACAAAACACATTTATTCTGCGTTTCTTGAAAAGAAAAAAAGTATTTGCGTGGACGAGGGAACCATTTAGTGAATCGATCACTAGAGACCACTAAACGTCGTGCATGTGACACTGTCACAAGAAGCAGTGGAAATATCTTGAGCCACAATTTAGGAATTTGCTTTGAGAAATATGATAACCACGGAAAACTAGATTAAGATGCATTCCGGTGATGCAATCTCTACAGTCTACACTTAATATTACTTAATAAATTCTGTACTCCCTCTTCAATAGGTACAGCTGATTTGTTTACGATGATATATATAGATGTATTTTAATACTGCTTTGTATGTTCATTTTTATGCATAATTAATCATCTAATAATGACACACATTGTCCACAAGTGATCAGTCTAAGAGACTCCTATCTAACTAAATAAGGTATGGGATAATTTTCATTTGACATTTAATATTTGTTCAATAGCAGGCTTAGATGGGAAGCAAAATGTGTTTTCAGTGTAACAGGAAATAGTCGTCTATGGGGATAAAATTCTCTGTGAGAAGTTGGTACACTTGCGACAAATTTAATTTAACCGCGGTTGGTATTATCTTCACTGGAAGTCACTACAGTGCAAAAGGAAGGTATTTTGAATACGTTCTTAACCAAGAAGCTCCAGTTTACTCACAACAGTGTTGAGTATTGGGATTCGTAATAATGCTTACTTGTCACAATTTGGGAAAACCAATGAAATGCAAAACTGTTCGAGGCCCCTGGGATAATTACTTTGGATTTTTACTGGTGAAGAAATGGAACAGCATGCGGTTTGACGTGGCTTCCAACTAGTCCTCCGTGTGCATTTCTTTAGCATTCCCCAGCAAACCTCCGTTCATGAAGGTGGTGATACTGATCTCTTCAGTGGGTTGGTTGGCAAGAGTGTGTTTCCTCTTGGTGCTACTGCGGTAGTGTGCGATTGTGCTCGAATCCCATGTGGATTTTGTGCACGTCGCGTATCTTCTGGACGAAGTAATTGTTCCCAAGTGTCTCCTACTGGTTACACTGGCTCTGCAGCTGTTACTTCCGCCGACGCTTCGCCCTCGACCGCTTCCAGAAGCCCTCCTGCAGCAGATGCACAACAAGTACCTGTTGAAGTGCTTGCGGAATGTACCGCTGACACAGTACAGTGCTATGGGGTTGATGCACGAGTTGATGAAGCTCAGACAAAATCCGATGATACGAAATGCGTGCCAGAAGCCATTGAACTGTTCATTGGCTGCTTCTTGATCGCTGTAGAACCACAACATGAAGACATGCTGTGGGAAGAAACATACAGCGAAAACTATGACGAAGGCAAGAACCATCTTAGCGACTTTCTTCCTGGCTCTGATCTGTCTCGCTTGGCCTTGCATTTCTCCAGGCATATTTTTGGTACTAAGAATGAGGTGCCTTGCCATAAGAAGGTAGAAGAACGAGATAATAATCAGTGGGATGGCGTAATAGATTATGAATTTGGCGATCACCATAGATTCAGCATAAACTTCACCCCATGACACTCGGAATGGATAACAGAAACTAAAACTCTTAGTGTCATTGATCTTCAGTATTCTTATGTGAGATGCAATAGCAGCTGGCAGTGCGCATGCGATGGCTAATATCCAGATGAAAATAGCTGTTAGAATGGTCAGTTTTGTGGCCCTGCGTCCACCGCCACCTGTATGCAATTTTCGCATTGGGTCGACAATAGCGAAGAAGCGATCAGCGCTTAGTGCAGTCAGTGTGAACACTGACACGCCAATGGATATATCCTTCACACACTCCGACATCTTGCAGATCAGTTCGCCGTATGGCCACGTGTCGACAGTGTACACTGTCGAGGTGAAGGGCACGCAAGTGACGATCACTAGAAGGTCTCCTAGAGCCAGGCTGAATATGTAAGTGTTGGGGACGTTCCTCATATTGCGGTGACGTATAAAGATGAGCACCAGGGTGCCATTTCCAAGGACACCAACCACGAAGATGAGGGCGAACAGGATCGGAACGATATAGGTCTCGGGTCTCTCCGCGTAGTCGACGTATGGAATCTGAGTGGTGTTCGTACCGTTCGCGTTTATATAAACTGCTGGTTGGAGCGTGGAGTTGCTATCTGTCAGATAGCTGTCCATGTCCGAAGTAATATTTGTTTCGATTATCACCCCCATGCCGTCTGAAAGTAAATACAAGATTTAGCTATGCTGTGTTATTCACGTGCCCTCGTTGATTCATGGTCATTTGTATTATGTAACTTTTAGATTCATGTCCGGTAGTTATACATTTTTACACTTTAGACACTGAGTGTTTCAACCCAGCTGGCGTTGAGTTCAAATAAAACAATTAGAACACGCTGTTAACAGCATCTTTTACCGTTAATTCATCTCTTGTCTCTAAGTGATCTGTTTTTGACTTCTCCAGAAATATACAGTTTTTCAGCTGAAGTTATCTTCTGTTTCACATATATGTCATAAGTTATAAATACACTATATCATAAGTGACTGTATTTTGTCAAAGAAAACATTACTTCTCTCAGTCTTATTGATATTAAATCATATCATGTCGTTAGATTAGTAGTGACTTAAAAATGTTTACAACTCTGTTGTTATTTGTCAGTAACACTTCACTGTTGCACATTTTTCTGACGTAATATTCGAAGTGGCAAATCATTCTCTACCATTTAACGTTATGAAAAACAAAGTTTATGCGAATAATAAATAAAAATTTAGTTCCTACGTTTAAATAAAGAACGCAACTCCTTTAAAAAGATCACCTGATTGATTTTGTTTAGTGAAATATTCGTTATTTATTCTGTAAACTTTAGCTTCTCTTATGTCTTCAAACAGAAAGCATCGGAGTTTCAGATAAATTACTTCTTTTGACAGCGAAGCTGTTGTATGTTTCGTTTACAGCACACGCCGGCGAATTTGGTCAAGACGTCAGAATATTATTATTGCATCGCTTGAATTGAGATTTCCTTGAAAACCAAACATCACTTGCGACATGTTTAGCCTGTGGGCGCATTCCTTTATCGCCGCGGGGCACGTGGTGAGATTTTCGCCTGCAAAATTTACATCACTGTCTCCTATTAAGATGCCGCTTGTGTACTGCCGAGCAATGCAATTTAATGTGGCGCGTTGGATAAGACTGTAAATAGATTATGTCTCCATGTTAGACGTTTAATTCTCTTTTGCTGCACGTCGTCTTGTTCGTATTGTTTGTGATTGTCGCGAGAGAGGCAGGCCGAGCTGCGATTTCCAAGGTAAATGTTAACATTTTCGTATTTTACTTGGTTTATTGCATTATGTCAGCTGCTTTTAGCCGTTAACTTTAGTTTAATGACATCAAATTCTTTGTCTGTGTGTTCTAAAATTCTCTTATTAATTCTGTGTCTTCACAGTTTCGTAACTTTGTTGTTGTTGTTGTGTGGGATTCCCATACCTCGTTCAGTCTTCTTGGGTGCTCCGTATATTGTGACGTGTTTTGTCTGAAACGAAAACAAATATAAGATGAGAAAAGGCTGTGGAGAGTTGTATCAATGGGAAAGTTAGATAGAAGGGGTTGGCAGTAATAGATTGATTTTCCGACAGGTTTGTACATGTTTGTGATTGAAGTTTTCTTGTTTCAATGACGTCAACAATGTGACAAATCAGTGCAGTGCTCTGAACGCGAACAAAGATTGAAAATGGAATGATAGCCTATTTGCAATGAAAGTTATTTTTTGTCTCAATAAATAATTTTATTATAAATGTTATTTTATTTTAATGTTTTAAAGGTAAAATGATTTGTCATCCACCTTATTCTTATAAGGAAAATGACAGAATTTCATGCTTTTAGCTTGAAAAGTGCGCTAATACACAGTCCTTCAGCTAGGTTCGTCGAAGCTGCAAACGTAATTTGCAGATTTTTTAACATTTGAGGAAAATCATCTTCTCCTTTGAAGACATTTTCTCGATATGAATGAAAACAGATGTTAAGATTTATATGCAGGCTGTATCGGGCATCTAACGGCTTACATGAGTTTACACACATTAACAACTATGGTCATTTTCATCATTAACACACTAGTGTTGTGTTGTTTCACTTTCTAAGTTATACGCCAAGACAGTGTATCACTGCATGTGCCACCACAAGACTGAGTTAAACTACACCAAGACAGTGTATCACTGCATGTGCCATCACAAGACTGAGTTAAACTACACATGTAACTAACTCACGGCCGTGAGTCTCCATCTTCATCATACTCCGATTCGGATATAATCGTATATTGGTTTACACACCCCTGATCTAAAGAAATCGTGAGAGGTTGTTCAGACAGGCTCCTTGCACTCTCGATATCGATACAGAGTTCCATGGGAGTAAACATATTTTATCCTTTACCTCGGTCTACAAGTTCGTCTGACCCAAAGACATAAACATTTCCTTACGTGCGACTTGGGAAGGTGTCCCGGGGGAAGGACCTGAGTTGTTTCTTGGACATGACATCATGGGGATCCCGTACAAATAGTGCGGAATTGCTTTTCGTTCTTGCTTACAGAAAATAGCAGGTGTAATGGATGGTGCAGTTAAATTTCAGTAATATCCAACAAGAAATAATTGAAAATATGAGCATCACTAACATCGTGGTCGTCACAACTGTAACCGGTTAAGCGTCTGGTCTGTTTCGGTTACATATTATGCCTTTCAGTGCATATTAATACAGCAGACGCTACACCAGATGAATACATAATCCGTATTATCGAAACTTGTGTAATTTATATATATTTTAACATAATCACATCTCTGCCAAGATATTTTCTTACAACTTACCATTATTCAGTACTAATTTCTTATTTTAGCCATGCTACATTCATATCTCACTGGCTGTTTGATGAAACTACCCTAATAATTCTGTAAAAGAAAATATATAAATTTCTAAGTTCGGTCACATGTAATTATGATAATTCTGTGTTTGTTTCGGTACCATGTAGTATCAGCCTGAGAAGAATCAACCTTTAGTAACCTGTATCAGTAAGAAATTATTTAAACAATTGAACTTTGCCTCTAGTTATAATAGAGTATTAAAATTCGGCAGGTAATTTTGTGTTATAATGACTTGAATATTCAGAGATGTCGATATATTTTACTTTCTGCATTATGTATGAAAACAATGGATTGATGTTTTCACACCGCGATGCAAATTACATCTGACACAAGAGCTTGCAGCTGCCGTTGATGTAACCAATCATATTGCAGTAAAACCAATCGCTGACATCAATCAAATGTTAAAATCCATCAGATTTACATGCAACTAGTTCTCTGATAGACACCGCGCCCCATCAGCAATCCACACGCATCTACATTTGATATTCCTCTCTCACAGGGTTGCCACACCCTAGAGACCAACATTCCCTTTCACAAGATTACAGTTTCCCATCACACTTGGTTTTTATATAATACTAGACCAACTCGCTCCTTTCGGAGCGCTTTCTCTAATCTGATATTTTAGTTCTTTACGTCGCTGTTCAGAGGCCAACTGTTCTTGGTCAGTCAGCTTTTTACGTCCAACACCACCCTTTCAAATCTTCGTCTGATTTTTTTCCCTTCTGTTTTTGTTGAATACGTTTTTCTACTTTTATCAATGTAAGTCTTACTTCGCTTTCCTTCATTTGTTAAATAGTTCTGATGTTTTAGTTCTTTACCTCGCTGTTCAGAGGCCAACTGATCTTGGTCAGCCAACTTTCTACGTCTAACTTTTTTGCTTAAATCCCACTGTGCTATAGACAATAGTAAAAATGCCACAAGTTCCATTTCATTATTGAATTTTTTTCATATTCTGGAGAAATGCATTTGACAAATCCAATGATTCAGTCTCCTCCACATAATATATACACACACGTACGGAAAGAGCTAGACAAAGTTGACGAAAAACATGAATCCGGAGTTTTAACAAGTTTCACCAGTTTGCTTTGTACAAACAGTGTTTCGGATATATTATTACCTTTTTTTCGGAGAATTTTGAAATCAGTTGTACGTGAACCACAACCTTAAAGTCTGAATGTGATCCGCTTGTCCTATAAAGACAAGGGACTGGACTAATCATGTTGGTGATTATGGGTCAGTGTAGAAGCTGACACCAGGATCTGCGAGTTGCAAACCGAGGTAACGTTTCGTCTCTCCCACGAAATTACAGCGACGTTAGGGTCTCCGCTTACAAAGGCCGAGCTGTGACGCCCATGGTGGTCAATTTACCCCAAGCTGCGATAGATACAGTGTTACCTAATTTGTATCCTGATCAAAAGCTGAATACAAGCGAACTGAACTTGCTTTAAATACCGTTATTTACTCCTGAAACAGGTTCGAGTCGGACTTTTGAGTTGTACAGAAAAGGCCAGCTGTGCCTTATATTTGGCAGGTACCGTGTTCGAAACTATGTGGCACTCCACCTGCATTTACTGTTTTCATGGTGTTCCTCAGTCGTTAAAGGCGAATTATGGATTAGTTAATCTAAACAGATTACTGCAAATTCCTCACCTTCACTCAATCACGTAATAACATTTTAATTTTATTTGACTCTGAGAAACTTCTGTAATTTAATTACTTATGAATACAATCTAGACATTTCTTTTAGCAAATTTTTTGTGCATTTGCGACTTCATTGCGCTCGTCATCCTTCATAAGCTGTTGTAGGTCTGTCTGAAGAATGAAACAGATGTGCTACTGTGATCACGATTTACAACAACTTTGAATAAGGGACAAAAATGCTTTTCCATGACTTGGTTATTAACACACACCGAACTCACTGATACTTTAACAGCACATTATTTAATATATACAGTTATTTTAAGGTTTAAATTTGTTGATAAAATTAATACCAGTTGCCCTGAGTCTGTCTCAAATTATTACTGCAGAAAGGCCGGGAATGGGGATCTGCATGGTAGGAAAACTTTCGCATTGCTTTGAAGACGCCAGTCAGCATCAAACGATACTCTGAGCTGTATGAATCGCTGCGTTTTTTTTCTGATTTCCATTGGGTCGCTGCTTTTGTATACGTATATGTGTTTTTGTAAATACTGTGTTTATGTGATAACGAATTTATCCGGAAACAGCTTCAATCGAAATTCTACATCTTCTGTATATAAAACACGACTGTTCTGAAATTGACAGCTACTGGAGTCTGCAAGTATGGAACGTGTTCAGGTCTTGTAAGTGGTTACAAGGAATTCTTAATTATCCTTTTGAAGTACGAAGTTAATCTAAATAATACTTAGACATCCAGTCTCTGTCTCAAAGGAAACACAAAGCGTCTCGATTACAAAGATAAATTGGTAAATGCTGTTAGGAAATTAAGCACAGTTTATTCTGGCAATTATTGGAACCCATAAAAATTCCTTGTGAGTAAAATGCAAAGTTACTTTTCGGCTTTAAAATGTGATCCTAAATCCTAGCTATAATACGCAGAGATTGGACAGTTATATAATCTTCCTAGCTCATTTTCCATATCACATTAATTTTCTAATGCCTTTATCAAACTTGTAAAAATAAAAATACATACATTGTTTTAAAAAAAGGGTAGTTTTATATTAGTTTTAAACTTATATTTCAATATTCTAACAAAATATAAAACCGCGATAGTTAATGCAGTATAGAGGCTTGCAGCGGTTTGGATGGCCATAGTTTGATTCCGGGCAGGAAAATTTATTTTTGAATTTCCCATCACATGCATTCTGGCTCAGGGACCTGCCAGTGAGTAAGCAAGAAAAAATCAGACGGAACAAAAAATTATATATTTATCTCTATCAAGTGTTGAGGTTTAGAATTCATGGATATTTGGCTTTATACCCTGAAGACGTCTTAACAGACTGATAGAATTCTTAATTGTGCGGCCATATTCCACAGCTGAGCACAGACCGTGCATTAATTTTGCCTCCCAGCAAATATTCATTCCTCGAGCTGCGTTACTTTGTGTTTTATCTCACCCAGAGAGGAATATCCTACGAACAACCGTCCCAAGGCATGCACTGCATAAATAATGTCATGGCCACCTGACAGCCTTAAAATGTCACCACCAGGAGGCCAAGAATTCCATTAGCGCGGCCCGAAACGCCCCTATTCTGTAGCCCAGCGGCGAGAAACGCGGAGACCTTCACTTTATTTAATTATATATTTGTGGTTTCTTTAACGACGCTGTCAGTATTTCGGACTACACAGCGTGGGATATGATGAATAACATTAATGTTGAATTTGAATGGAAATGGGAGGAGGTGACCGTGGTCTAATTTTAAAACACTATTCTGGAGGAACTGAGGAAAATCTCTCGGTTAGTGACATCTACCCATCCCTCCTTCCTCACAAAATGTCTCTCTACTGTCAGGTAGCACTTGATTCACTTAGTAGTCTTGATATTTATTATATTATGTACATATATAGTATATTATTAGCAATTTAAAGCATACTAGTAACTATATGAACCAACTTATTTAACAGTCAGTGTCTAGGAATTTTGTA